AAAAAGTTATATTAAATAGTCCACGGTTAAAGATATGGTAATTTCGGAATATTGTCCAAAAATAAACGCTTTACAGCTCTGATGGACCATTAAAAAATTAAATTACTTATTATTACTTATAATAAATATCCATGTTTTAAACTCTGATGGCTTTTCAAAAAAAAAAAACTCTTAAAAAAACCTCACCATAAAATCTAGATGGACCTTCAAAAATATTCCTAAAAAGATCTATGCTTGACAGTCCCAAAAACTACGATAATTGGTCGAATATTCGTTTTTGAAATGTTTTTTAAAAAAAATCTGCACATACAGCTTTGACAATCCTTGCAATATATCCCTTAATAAAACCCCCGCCCCATTTTTTTCCTACCGCCCTTTACCTAAGATAAATTGTATTACTTAATTAAATTCCTCACCAATGTCAATGCATGTAAATAGGTATACAGGTCAAGATCGTGATAAGATAGCACAAAAACCTGACACATTTCTGCCACCCCCTGTTTTACATGTTGTTTTTCGATTTTTTTCTTTCAACAAAATCGTGCTGCTCATGTTTTAGTGATAGTGACTAACTTTCCAACATCCGTGAGTGCAGCAACGATTACGTGAAAATCAAAGTTTCAAGTTCAACTCGTTGTGTGCAGCCTTTTAGCAAACATCACGAACCATGGGCGGTTGGGTTCAAAACTATTATCCATTGTATAATTAAAACTATTTATAATTTGCACAAACATCCATCCATACATGCAAATATATTCATTTCAATAAATCACGTTTAATTCCTTTATCTAAACTAATAAACACCTTTAGTTTTGGCTTGGAAAAACCAACAATCCACCATGGAGGGATGGATGTGGACATTAAGACATTGGGTCTTGATAAAAATTGCAATATCAAAATAAATGCACATTGTAATGAATTGTGAAGGGGGTGTTGTGCCAGAGGTAAAAATTGTACCGAATCCACTTAAACACAAACAACAATAAAAAATACAAACAAACACACCCTCAATTAGACAAAAACAAAAAATGAAGAAAAAACAATAGATTACATTTCAATGTTCATGATTTAATTAATCACCAAAGCCATCGATCGGCACGGCACGTTCGCTTAAATACTACAAAATGAACGGAGAAAAAAAATAATTACGGCGCTGTACTGCATGGTGGTGATAGCTGTTGTCCCGACAGCTAACCAACCAACCAGCCAGCATGTATTCTGGCATTTAATGAATGAATGAAAGAATTACGTCCGATCCAGATGTACAGACGTCGACCACCAAGTATTAGCTATTAAGTAAGCCAAGCTTATATGGAAACTCCATTTGGTACTTAACTACTTTTGTTGTAATTTATCGCATTTATCACATTTGACTGCTCTATTTTCAGCAGAGATGGTGAATTGCAAAGGTGGAAATTAAAAAAAAATAAAAATTTAATTCAATCAATTAGCTAAGATTAAGGATGAATATTTTTAGATCAACTACAATTTTTTATAATATAATGGACCAAAGAGAGAGATTTTTATGGTCCTTCAACAAATATTCCTGAAATATTCAGATTTTAAAGCTCCGACTATCCTAAAAAATAATTTTAAGCAATCCACACTTTAAATGCGTATGGTTCCTCCAAAGGATTCTCAAACAATGTACTCTTTAATGTTATATGGCCTATCGAAAAATGTCTTCAAAACTTAAGCTTTAAAACAACAATGGACTTTCAGATAATATTCATAAAATAGCTATTTGGCCAACAAGATTGGACATTTTTGGAATATTTTCAAGGATAATTATACCAATTTAAGTGTTGTTTAATATAAACAAATAAAAGTGTCGTTAATGCCTCCCGAACTTTTTATAAACTTCAACATGAGTTATTATATCTAAAATTGATCGGAGCTTCAGGGGAAAATGAAATACCAAACTACATTCATTTAGGATTGGCATGGACCTTGAACATACCGAAAATTTTGAAGTGCTAATTATCTTAAAAATTTACGCCTCTGATCTTTTTTTAGAAATATACGCCTCTTAAACAAATTTAAAAAATATATGCCAAAAACTTGAGTATCCTTCAAAATTATCTTCAAAACTACTTAATAATCTACGTGAGTATCCTTTAAAAAAGTTAAGAAAATCTATTCCTCAGACCAGAGTATACTTAAAAAAAACTTTAAAAATCTAAAACTCAGAGCTAAGCATAAAAAATTAGAAATCTACACCTGAGACCAGAATATACCTCAAGCTAATTTTAAAAATCTACGCCAAAGAGTATCCTTAAAACTTGCGTTAAAAATCTACGCCTCAGTCCCGAGTGTTCTTCAAAATAAAAATTTAAATCCTAAAAGATCTGAGTATCCTTAAAAATTAAAAAAAAATTAACCTCAGAAATAAATTTCCATAAAACAAGTAAAAAAGTGTCAGTCGGTGTTGCCGACAGATATTTACCCCCAGCCTATGGAACTTCTAAAAATCTAGGCCTCATGTCTAGCTAACCATCAAAAAATCTTTATAGTCCACGCTTATAACTAGAATAATCATGCAACAAATTCACACTCGGAAAATCCTTTAAAAATATTCCCAAAAAATCCACACTCAGATAATCCTTTAAAAATATTCATTGAAAGTCCAAGCTCCCAGCTCAAATAATCCTTTAAAAAAATTCCTTAAAAAATCCACGCTCGGATAATAATTTAAAAAATATTCTTTAAAAATCCACGAAAAATTTTTTTAAGGTTTATTCGAGGTATAGACATGGATTTTTAAAGAATATTTTTTAAGGACTATTCGAGCTATTATATAAAAATCCATGTCTATACCTCGAATAAACCTTAAAAATTTTTATTTAAAAAGTCTACTTTTTATGTCGTATAATCCTTTAAACAATTAACGCTTCTAGCTCGGATAATCCTTTAAAACACAAAAAAATAAACCTTCAAAAATTATTCTTTAAAAATCTTCGTATCTATGTCGGATAATCCTTTAAAAAATCCACACTTCTAGCTCGGATAATCCTTTAAAAAATATTATTTATAAAACCCACGCCAATAACTCCGATAGTCTTTAAATAAAAATTCTTCAAGAATTCTTATTAAACCAGTGAGCGGAGCAGTATAGTCGGACGGGGCCGACCATATGATACCCTACACAACTACCACGAAAATCACACTTTCGGCGGTTCTATATTCTATATTTTCCAAAAAAATGGTCACTTTAGGTTTTGGTTGATTTGACCCTCGGAAAATTGACCGATCATCATCTAAACAGCTGCTCTAAATATTTGGTCAGATCCCCTTCACCTTGTAAAATATATGATGTTCTGTATATAATAATTGCCTCTAGAGCTACTAGAAAATCTGACAAAATTAAAGTTTTCGGTTCATTGCACCCCCTGAATGAAATCTCAACATCACCGAAAACTATAAGCGTCGTCCTTGACCATCAGCGCGACATTTCCGTCCCCCAATGGAGTAATAGTAATAATATGCACATATTCACCTTTACTTAATTGCGTATAACTCCCGCATCGGAGTACATACAGCCATATAATTGGTATCAATTTGAAGGTTAACAACTCATCTTGGACATACTATCAATATCTCGAGTATATGTCCTTCAGGAGCAAGTATATACGCCCCAGAATAAAAATTTTGTAATTTTTCACACAAAAGTCAGGGTCCATTTGACCCGCTAAATATTGACCGATCTTTATCAAAACAGGCATGCTTATTCTTAGGTCCGATCCATGTAAAATATCACGATGTTCGGACCATAACTGCGACCTCTTGATCGACCAGAAAAACTGACAAAAATTTAGTATTTGGTCCATTTCATCCCCTAAATATTAACCGATCTTTATCAAAAACAATAGGGGTCTTCATTGGCCAGAACCCATCCTACATGCAAAATTTCGTGAAGATTGGTCCATAACTGTGGCCTGTATCGTGTTTACAAATTATAATGGTCAGACGGACGGACACACATGTCTTGATCGACTCAGCTAGTCGGGATATGTCGATCGGTATACTTAAAGGTGGGTCTAGGACCAATATTTCGTGGCGTTACAAACTTTTGGGGCTGCACAAAGCTATAATACCCTGACAACATAGTCGTGTAGGGTATAAAAATCGGATAATCCTTCAAAATTCCTCGCCTGTAGTTCAGAGAGACCTTCAAAAAATATTGTTTACAAAGTCTACGTTTATACGACAAATAAAAAATATATTTCAAAAATATTATTAAAAAAATTCCGCGCTTTTTATTCGGTTATTTTTTCAAACTTATTATTGGTATAGTCCTTAAAAATATTCCTTACAAATCTACGCGTATAGTTCGTATAGTACTTTAAAAAATACACGCATATATCCTTAATAACCCTTCAAAAAACTTTTAAAATCCTCCCTTCAGAAATAATTTTTTGAAAATTCACGCATTTTTAATGAATACAAATATTTAAAAAGAAAAAAGATTTAAGTCTTATATTCTGAATTTATGAATGTTGAGCACATTGTAATTTTCCAACCCTGATTGTAATTAACTTGCTCTTTAATTGCTGGTATTGGTCTTTAACTAAGTCAGCATCGATCACTAATGGATTCACAACTACTCGACTACCTACCTCTAATCGTATCGCGAGAATGCTGCTGCTATTTTAAACGATTCTTAAACGTTTATTTTTTTCCGAACGGATAAATATTTATTTTCACACTTTATGTGGTAATAAATTGGCTACTTATTTATGAGCGGATTGAAAACATAAATAGTGAATTGAGTTTATAAATAAACCAATATGGCAATTGGAATTAATTGCTCTAATTGTAAGGCGGAACATTGTAAATTAATAGTAGAACAACAACAAAACGATTCTGAATGTCTTAACGACATTTAGTTGTCAGCATATCCTTTTTGCGACAATGATTTATTGAAAGTTGTTTAAAATTAGAATTTTGTTGGAATAGTGTAAATTCTTTAGTAATTTTTATTGTTTTCTTTTTATTTACAGGATGAACCCCTTAACACCTACCTTAACTTGGGCGAATGCAAGGAGCTCGAGGAATACTCCCTGAAATGCATCAAGGACGGCTGCTCCTTCAAGGCTGTGGCTAAGAATGGTGAAATAATTGGTGTGTTCCTTAATGCCCTTATGCACCGCCCTGCCCCTGATGCGGTACCCGAGGCCTCTGCAGATGCCTGTGAACATCCTAAATTTAAGAAAATTCTCCAACTGATGGATTTCATTGAGGGTGATTTCAATGTTTTCGATTTGTATCCCGGCACCAATACCATTTTGGATGGTAAGATTCTGTCGGTAAATACCAATTATCGTGGTCTGGGTATTGCTGGCCGTCTTACCGAACGAACATTGGATTATATGCGTGAACATAATATCCCTGTGATGCATGTCTTGTGTTCTAGTCACTACTCGGCTAGAGTTATGGAAAAATTGGGTTTCCATGAGGTGTATCGCTTAAATTATTCCGACTATAAGGTCAATAATGAGGTTGTATTGAAACCAGAACCACCTCATGTTGCTGCCAGGATTTTGGTCAAGGAGATTGCGGATGTGGTGAAAACAAAACTATAAAAAAAAGAAAACGCAACACAAAGAGGAGGAAGAAGAGGCTAGATGTTTAGCTGAAAAGAGGAGGAGAATGGAGACAGCCGGAGATTGAAAGAAAATGAAAAAGAGAAAAAATTCCCCACCCATTTGTTAGATGCATGGTTGTATGTACGATATGTATACCACCCTAGGTGTATGTATATGTTAGTTTGTAATATTTGTATGTATGTCTGTTGTTAATGAGTTTTGTTTTTGTTTTTAATTTTCTTTTTTCTTTTCTACATATAATTAATATTTTAAAACTTAAAATTAAAAATACAAATATTAAGAAAGTAATGTGATTTTTTAGAATGATTTAAGTTACTTTTTATATGGTGTTGGTTTAAATGGAATTTATATATAATTATACAATATTACAATTATTATTATTATTTTAAGTTGTAAATTTCTTATTGACAGGGGACTTAAAATACAAAACAAATGTATGCCATATTTTATTTATTTGAAATTGTTGAGATTTTTTTATTTTTTTACAAATTATTTGTTTGTGACTTTTTTCGTTTGTCATTAAAAAACAAAAAGTCAATAATTTGATGATCAGCAATATTTATTATTTCAAAATAATTGAAAAAATTCCCCTATGGGAAAAAATGTACAATGATTTGCATTTTATGGATTTTAAATACATATAACTATTAATTGATTATTTTTTCTTTGATTGTATTATTTTTTTTTTTTTGTTTTTATTTGAAATTGTTATATGTATATGCCCACTGTGTATTTTTTATTATATGTATAGTTCTAAATGTAATTTGACATGATTATGATTGAAGATTTTTGTGACTATTTACAATAATAATGTTATATAGTGCAAATATAAAAATTATTTTATAAATAATTTCATTATGTCTCTTTAAAAAAAAAATAAAATCATAAATAAATGCCAAAATATCGCAACAGTTTGTGGAATATTATTTTATTTCGGATTTGGTGGTAAGTTATTTTCCCACAGCCTTGATGGAAATTTGCCTCTGCACATAGGTTCAAAAATAATGGAAAGATGATTCCCCTCTTCGGAGTTAATCTAAGTTTGGTAAAAGTATTAGAATTTGCAAAGTTTGGATCAAATCGGACATTTAATTAGCTTAAAATATTAAAAAAAAAAAACTTTACACTGTGGGGGAAGTACCAGAAGAAGTTGACCGATATTCCCAATCTTCAAACTTGATTTAAGTTTGGACGAAATATTATTATGTGCAAAGTTTGTATGAAGTCGGTTAAGCACTTCAGAGTTATCGTGCGCACCAGCCAGACAGACATTTGTAAATCAACTCCAAATTGTCTAAAACTTATTTGAGTTAAAAGAAACCAATTTTTCGATGAGGCAAAGTGTGTATACCCTCATTATCTTTGTAACTCATCGAAATTATTATTATTAATATTCGCCCCTTGTAGGGATAGTCCCCATATAACCCCCTTTTTATATTAAAATAATTATCTAATTTGGTCCGCGTTTTTGGGTTATCCCTATATAGTCGTATTCCACCAAAGTAGGGGGATATTCTGTACTCGAGAGTATGGTATTGTAAAACAATTTTGCCGATTCTGCCATCTGTTGTAATCATTCTACCTTCTGATGATATCGAGATAAAAAATTAGAATGTCAGGTTCGATAATGAACTATATCGCTCGCATTTAAGCCCCCATAGCATGAATTGTAATGCAAAAATGTTAAGTTCGAAGTTGAGCTATATCGGTCCTCAATTAAGCATAACTCCTCTTGCTTTAGGTATAGCCTCCAGGGACTATATAGTTGCCCACACTCGGAAAACCCCTCATACTATGAAAAAGCAACGAAAAATAAACCCAAACCCCCCAATGTTTACGACCCCGCGTCAGAATTAAAGACCTCTTCCCCAGATTCACTAGATGAGCGAATTGCTATAATCCGTACAAGTTCTTCTACATCAGTCTTATTTGCGTCCATGCTCCGAGGGAAGATAGAAACAGAACATGAGCGCGGCGCTGGTCATGACATTAAAATTCTGCTAGGAGATTTTAATGAAAAAATCGGTGGAGAAAATATTTTTGTCCCCACCGTCGAAAAATTCAGCCTCCAGATTCAAGCATCTCGATTTACATAAGTCCACCTGGATTTCTCCTGATCATGCAACGAGAAATCAAATTGATAATGTTTTGATAGACGGATGGCATTCATCCAGTGTTTTAGACGTTCGATCGATACGAGGAGCGAATGTCGATTCGGACCATTACCTTGTGACAGCCAAGGTACGCACCCGTCTTAATGTAGCAACAAAGATGCGATCTAATGTAACACCGAAACTCGACGTCAAAAAGCTGCAAACATAACATATCGACGTTGAATGAGCCATATTCAGACATATCGAGCTGCAGCGGCTACGTTGGCTAGGCAATGTTGTGAGATTGGATGAAGGTTAAAAATCATATAGAAGCGATCCAGCTGATGGTTAACGCAGAACGGTAAAGCCACGAATTAGATAGAAAGATCAAGTGGATGACAACATTGCCCAACATGGAAAAATGACGCCAAAGACCGACGCGTCTGGAAATCTTTATACCCTTCACCACACTGTGGTACAGGGTATTATGGCTTTGTGCATATGTTTGTAACAGGCAAAAATAATCGAGATAGACACATGGTTCCTTTTGAGAATATACTTAGAATCACTTTCTAAGTCGATTTATGCATGTCCGTCCGTCTGTCTGTCTGTCCATGTTAAATTGTAAACAAAGTACAGGTCGCATTTATGATCCGAATTGGATGAAATTTGGCATAGGTCACTTATTCGGCCCAAGGACGAACCCTATTGAAATTGGGAAAAATCGGTTCAGATTTAGATATAGCTCCCATATATATATTTAACCGATTTAATGTAAACGGTCCCTTTATATCTTTCGATTTGCACGAAATTTGGTACAGCCTAATCATTTAGGTCTAGAATGATGTCTGCCAAGTTTCGAAAAGTCGGTCCAGATTTAGATATAGCTCCCATATATAGTTTCGTCCGATTTCATGTAAATGGTGCCCCAAAGTCCCTATATATCTTACGATTTCCACGAAATTTGGCATAACGTACTGAATTGAGACTAGAATGATGTCTGCCAACTTTCGAGAAAATCGGTCCAGATTTAGATATAGCTCCGATATATAGTTTCGTCCGATTTCATGTAAATGGTACACCAAAGTCCCTATATATATATATCGATTTGCACGAAATTTGGCATAACGTACTTAAATGAGCCTAGAATGATGTCTGAAAACGTTCATGAAAATCGGTCCTGATTTAGATATATCTCCCATATAGAGTTTCGTCCGATTTCATGTAAATGGTGCCCCACAGTCCCTATATATCTTTCGATTTGCACGAAATTTGGTACAGCCTAATCACTTAGGTCTAGAATGATGTCTGCCAAGTTTCGAGAAAATCGGTACAGATTTAGATATAGCTCCCATATATAGTTTCGTCCGATTTCATGTAAATGGTGCCCCAAAGTCCCTATATATATTTTGATTTGCACGAAATTTGGCATAACGTACTGAATTGAGCCTAGAATGATGTCTGCCAAGTTTCGAGAAAATCGGTCCAGATTTAGATATAGCTCCCATATATAGTTTCGTCCGATTTCATGTAAATGGTGCACCAAAGTCCCTATATATCTTTCGATTTGCACGAAATTTAGCATAACGTATTGAATTGAGCCTAGAATGATGTCTGCCAAGTTTCGAGAAAATCGGTCCAGATTTAGATATAGCTCCCATGTATAGTTTCGTCCGATTTCATGTAAATGGTCCACCAAAGTCCCTATATATCCTTCGATTTGCACGAATTTGGCATAACGTACTTAATTGAGCCTAGAATGATGTCTGCCAAGTTTCATGAAAATCGGTCCTGATTTAGATATATCTCCCATATATAGTTTCGTCCGATTTCATGTAAATGGTGCCCCAAAGTCCCTATATATCTTTCGATTTGCACGAAATTTGGTGCAGCCTAATAATTTAGGTCTAGAATGATGTCTGCCAAGTTTCGTGAAAATCGGTCCAGGTTTAGATAGATACAGCCCTTTTTATTATAGATTGATTTTAAGTAATTGACGCACCATATGTATTTTCGCCCGATTTCAAGTAAATTGGGCATCAAACTCCACATGTTAGTCAGATTGACATAAAAGTTTGCACATCGTACAAAATTGAGCATAAAATTGTATAGTTGCGTTTTCTAGAAGTACAGACATAGCCCAACGGATGACCTATTTATATTTGTTTGAAGTCGATTTACATACTTTATGGATAGATCTAGGTAGATTCACATTTAGATAAATAACACATATTTTATTTCATCCAATTTCATGCTAATAGTCCTGTTTAATAAACCCATAGTGGTGAAGGGTATCATATAGTCGGCCCCGTCCGACTTTACTACTTTCCTTACTGGGTTTTAAGCTCGGCTTATGGAAATAAAGGTCTGTCACAAGCCAGCTAAGTAACTAAGTATTCACATATTTTGCATCGTTTAAGTGAAACTTCACTTAAACGAAAAAAATACCTACTAAAAATTATCAAAGTGGAGAACGTCAAATTGACTATAACTTGAAACTTTTGATTTTAATGGGGTGTCAAATTTTCCCACTAAAAATTATTAATATCGATTTTTGTGGGGTTTCGGAGAATGACATATATGCAGAAAATTGTCAAGGTGAAGGTTTGCACGTAGTACTCATATTAAAATACTGCTCTACCTTCATTATTTGGAAGGTTTATTAGTGGTCTTATAAAGGTTCCATAACTCCATTATAAAGTGGGACGCGACCCATTTTCAGTACTCTGAAGTGCCTATAATTTGGCATTCCGGATTCCCGATGAATATAAAACTCCTTTCTAGAAAGTTTCCGATTTAGGTTCATGATTTTACATCGCTCTTAATTTTGTTTTTCGTTCTACCTAATAAATTGCCTACTAGCAGGCGATGCTATATTGAGCATATGAAGTACCTGACCATTTTTTGATAACATGGTAATACACTCCACATGGTGCAGGGTACAAACAGTTCGGACCGACCGAACTTTAATACTTTTTACTTGTTTACAGATGTACTGGCACTTTTCTAACATTGGAAAATCAAAATCATAGCGTGAAACATAGGAACATTTTAATTTTCATTTTAAAGCGTCAATGTGAAATCGAAATAATACCCAAAATTTTAACTAATTCCAGAAAAAAATAAAAATGCTAAAAATTGATATTTAGCACCTATCAATTTTTCAATTTTTTTTTTGTGCTAAACGAGTTTGGAATGTGCTAAATCTAGCACAAAAAGTGGTAAATTGGCAACACTGGCTATGAGTCACCTTTTTACTTTAAATCATTGTCTTTCGGAATATTGACTAATAAATCAGAAAATATGGAAAAACATCCCAAAGATCGAAGTAGACTGCTGTTGGTTAAAAACACCACTAATGCACAGAAATTTATTTACTCAATAGGAAAATCTAAAACTCCACGTTTTTTTACAATTTTTAAATCAATAATTAACTAAAAGTCACAACTTTGTAGGGGAAATAACAGTAGGATCAACTTCTACCTTTGAACTTGATCTAAGTTTGGAATAAATATTACGATGTGGACTCTAAATTGTTGGAACGGGTTTGGTCAAAAGAAATATGTGGTCTATAACCAATATTTTGATGAGGCAATTCTTTTTCTTGCCTTATAAAAACGTGGTTAAGTTAATTTTTTCCTCCAACCGTGTTGTGTAGTAGGGGAGACTGGGGCACCTTCGGCATCGGGGCACCTTCGGCAATCGCGTTTTCGATATGAAGCTCTCACCGTACATCATTAGTTTCGATACATAGGCATCGAATATCGAAATAAATAACTGACACAAAGTTTGAAATTTCTAGCTAATAAGCTTATTTAGATACATGGGTTTTTGTATTTTTATAGATGTTTCTGTAATATTTCAATTCCATTTCGTAAGTATTTCGTGTATAAAACTTTTTACATTTTTAAGACAATATTATTAAAAAGTGGTTAACTACGATGCATATTTTTATAAAAATATTTAAAAATATAATGTTTTTACAAAACTCATCAAAAAATGAAAAAAAAAAAAACTATAAAAAGTACATTCGGGATACATTCGGCATTTTAAAGTGGGGCACATTCGGCCATATACAGATTGTGCAATATTATTTCGTTAAAATGTTTTTGAGTTTGTCTTTAAAACTAATCCTTTAATATGGTTCGAAATTGCATATATAAGATCAAACGTGCTTGAATTGACGAAAATGCGATAGAAACCCCCTATTTCTGATGGTGTGTGCGACCTTGAGATGTAAACGTGCCCCGCCAGAATATAAAGTCCTATAATTCAAACATTGTGTGACGTACTAAAACAAAATAGAGCCTTTAGAGGATCAGAAGGATCATCCAGACTGATAGCGATGACAATTACCCGGCTATGACTATGGTGCCGAATGTGCCCCATCAAATGCCGAAGCTACCCGGGTTGGGGCACATTTTTAATTTGACTTTTTTTACAAAACTGTAAAATTTGTTAACTAATACTATTTTTTTATATCTTTTTGGTACTATTTTATATAATTAAGTGTCAGAGGAAAATAATCAGCCATAAAGTTGTTATGTATGTTGAATAAGTACTGAGATATAGAGCTCTAAAAAAAAAGTGCCGAATGTGCCCCAGTCTCCCCTACATGCCAAATTTCTTCAACTAAATTGTCTAGTTGTTCATATTCTTACAAAATTAACTATCATATTACAAACACTCTAGGAACTTTGACATAACAAAAATTTAAGCGGGACCTCTGTAAGAATTTACAAACATTGACCTATAATACCAAATTACATTATTTTCGTTTGGAAAATTCGGCTACAAACCTTAAAATACAAAAACTGTCAACATACGGGCCCAAAATTATCATTTACCGGCCCGAACCTTTATAAGGGGCTATGTCAAAAAATTAAACTTATTAATAATTTTCTGCATAGATGTATGTCAGCCTCCAGAAACCTGGTATGCCATATTACAGTTCTTTCGGTTGGATAATGTTTCTTTTTCGGATAATTTCCCCATAAAACTTTCGCTGAATTTTCCGGCTTACTTTTAAGGCAACCAAAATCCTTTACGTCGTACAAAAATACGAACTGGAATGATTTTCGCCTAGATTTGCAGTCAATGCCACTAGAAATCATATCCCCGACAAACAAAAACCTGGCGAACGACGATATTGAAGCAACGATTATAATTTTTAATAGCGAATTTAATCGTATTCATAACGCGCATTCGGAAAAATTGGTATTAAGGGGACCCCCCCATTCTCGGGGTCGATTCTACACTAATTCAAGAATGTCCCTACAAAATTTCAAGTGAAAATCTCAAAAACTCTTGAAAATATAGCCGATTTATTGTGTCAGCATCAGGTGAAGGCTAAATGGCTTCTCAAACTTTAAACGCGTTTTTCTCATTTGCGAATGGCGGGCACGATCATTCAAAAACTAATAACCCTATCGTTTCCAAATTTTTACACGTTTCGTATGAACTAAGATAAAGCCAGTCGGTGAAGATCTTCCTTATTTTTTAACTTGGTTTTTGGTTTTTGGTCAACCTTAACAAGCATTGGTATTGATTTACCAGCCCATTGAAAATCTTGAAAAATTAAAATCGATAATGGGTGGAATTCCCTTAAAAGATGGAAATCCTCCAGTTTCCGAAAGAACGAAACACTTCCTCAAAATGAAGCATCAATGGCAAAAAGAGCTAAAGAAAATATTCCATCGTACAGGTAACAGAATCAGTCGAGAATATACAATCCTTTCTAAACAAATACAACTTTTGAAAATCATTATAAAAGAAATTGTAAACATAGAAACTGCTCAAATAACACATACATGATAATAATGTTATTACTAACAATCCTGAAATTGCAAACAAATTCCAATCATATTACTCTACAAATTTTCAAGAGAAATTGCCTTTACGCCCGGTTCAGGACCTTGATTCGAGGGTCACGTCATGTGTTGATGCTACAACATCGCAAATTTATTCTTTGGAACACGATTTTGGCGCCTTGATTAACCCAGACGTATTTCATTTCACTGCTCCTGAAAAGATTAAAAATATTATTTCTAATATTAATAAAAAATCATGTATTTTATTTCGCTGCTTAAACCTGAAAAGATATAAAAATATTATTTCTAATACTAATAATGCATAGAAAATATTCAGAAGAAAAAATTGAAAACGAATTAACAATTGATCCAATCTCCAACTATCAATGCGGATGTAAACCAGGACATTCCACACAACACGCGCTCCTTAAGTTCCACAATGTTATACATAATTACTAACTTAAGGAATAAAGTATTCACTGTGGCAATATCGTTAGATATCCAGAAAGATACAAATCAACGCTGCAAAATCGGTAGCTATTTGTATACGTAATGCCTCTGGAAAATGTCAAAAACACGTAAAGCCCGAAAGCAAATTGCAGCAGCTGTCCTAGGAAGGGTGGATATACCCTTTAAGACCTAATTTAAGTACCTCGGCATACAATTTAATAACCTAATGAAATTTAATTTACATGCACGTTCCGTCATTCAAAAGGCGAATGGTGTATTAGGAAGATTCTCATATATTCTCAACAACAAACACCTACCTCAAAAAACGAAACTACTTCTATATAAAGTAGCAATATGACCAATTTTATTATATGGATTACCGATCTGGTTCTCTATTTCTCCGATAGTGGTCAAAGAGTTGGAAGTCTTAGAAAGAAGAATCCTAAGGAAATGTGTAAATAAAAATTACATAAACGAACACAAAAAATACTCCAACACATCTACAACGCATATCGCGTTGTTCCACTTTGTGAGTATGCACAACTACATCAGAAAATTTTCGTCGAAATACTTGCATTTCATGAAAACTTCCTGATGAATCAAATCCACGAAACGGAGAAAAGCATATCTTGGGAAGAATTTTCCTACCTGCCATCTATAAGAATTCTAAATGAAGGACCTGAAATTCCAAACGGGTATAACTTTATACAAAATCCACGCCTGGCTGCTAATATCAAATTTATCACATCATTGATATGTTCGTAATATACTGAGGTCGAGAGCAAGCCTCATTTTCTGTTGTTAATTTTATTTAAATTTTGTTTATATTTCTCATTGTCATATATCACAAGTAGCATATCTTTCATCTTTATGATCTCGCTGTATGTTAGAACAATACGACTATAGTTCTAAGTAAATTATGTTAATCATTCGATTTATATGTAAACCTACAGTGAAAAGGAGAAGACTCAATAAATATTACTTATTTACTTACATACTTGGATAATGTTCCTAAAACCTTATATTTTTCTATCGTGATTTCAACATAAAAACGGACATAACTAAATCGACATAATATTTAATAGTACTCAAGAATATAAATACTTTAAGAGGTCTCCGACGGAATTTGTACATTTTTGCAGGTCATGAAACAAACAATCTACTAAACATTCCACATTCAATTTGAAATGTATCATGCTATATTTTTGAATAAAGTGGATCACATATTTATAGCATACTTTTAGGGATATGTAAATTTAAAAATGTCATTAACACATTAATGTTTAACGTTATACCAATTAATACAAAATCAGGGATTTCTTGCTATTTATTTTTATTTACGTTTTCTTTTTTTCGAGAACCATGTTGTACTCTTTTCTATTTTTTGTTTTAAATACAATATATGCATTATTTACATAAATATCAACATGAATTAAAAAAAATGAAACTATTGCAATTGATCTAAACTATTATATAATACAAAATACAAATGTATTCAAAGATATCTATCAACAATTATTTTAGTTTCCAACTCTGTTGGATTTAATACAATATTGTTAATAACTATCTCAGATACATTGTAGAAAAATTGTTTTTTTGTAGCACCAAGAATTATCTACTTGACTGATCGGCAGCAACACGTTCCACAAATCGGCGTATGTTTTCTTCCCTTGTCGAATTGTTAACTTCGGTACGTATACGTTGATGGTGGGCACTTGCTTTGGCCGATATTTCATCTAAACGTTCTTGATTAATAGCAAATGAGTGTCTAAAGAATATTCAAGGAAATTTTATAATAGTTTTATATAAAAAATAGTAATAAATATTTTTACCTGACTGAGAAAAATCCAAAAATACCACCAGCTATCCCCAGAAAAATGATTGCAGCTGCTACTTTAAAGTTTGTTGTTCTACGTACACCATTTATACCATAATAAGGACCGGGATTTGGATCATAGTCTGGTTTAATTTCCCATGGTCTGTAAGCAAAAACAAATTACATATATTAACTATTATGATTTCAAATAGTTAGGCAATATGAAAATAAATGCTATAAAGATTACACAATGTATTATGACAAGTAAACATATTCTCGAAGTAGCAAAAACCCAAGAAATTTAAAATATTTATGAAATAATGAAATATTCGACGTGAATTATTTCGACAAAAGTCACAGGTGAGAAGAATCGTAGATGGTGGTTGAAATGACACGGCAGATAGCATGCCAGAAGAAACTGGGAGGTGATCGACGCCTGTTATCTGGACACACCCGGTTGTAATTCGGAGTGCATTATTTTAAGTAGTTTGCAAGGATCTCCATTGTGTGCCACTAAAGAATGAAGTCAATACCTAGTCCAATTCTCAATTGACTTCTCGCCTTTAGAAGTGACACAGTAGACTTTGCAGTGGATAATCTTAGATTGCGCTCCGGAAGAAGTTGGTCAATGTTAACGCCGGACGAAATAACCGTACAGTCATCACTGAAACATATGGTGGAGGAATAGGGAGTTACGCCATTCGAAATCTTCGGTGAAATTTCTTGCAAAGCTGTTGATGTCCCTGGAACCATGTTGCTGGGTAGCAAGAATGAAATGCTGTTTCATAGACGGAAGCAATGGGGACTCTTAAATCTTGGTTAATGGCGAAAGAAGAGAAATTTGACCGTTGTATTTATCGGGTTTTAGAATTGGAATAATCCTTGAAAATTTTCAAAGAACAGAAATTACCAACTGTATAATCGATAATTCGAGGATTTTGGTCAGATAACCCAGCCCTATTGCACCTAGCATCTTTAACATGAACATGGAAATGCATTTTAGATAAAAGCCTTGGTTGGTTTAGATATGGAGATAATTGATTCTACCTTGCTGGAAGTGAATGCGAAAATGGATGCTCAATGAAATGGCGGCAGAACTGCAATGCACAATTTTTGACATTGGCAGAATTAGCTGGGAGATTTATATTTCTTTTGGAACCAGAAAGACTCTTAATTGTAGACAATAGCTGCTTGGAAATTATATTTCAGTGGTAAACGTGTTATAACTATTTGAGCGCCTATGATTTAGGACTATTTTATTCTGTCCTCAGCGGAGCCTTCGGCACGATGTTGGTCGCTTTGCTGTGCCAATCTGGAGGACATGGATGAATAATTTGGTCTCATTAGAAGAATTCTGACCGCAGGAATGAAGCGTTTTCCGCTTTTAGAAGAATTTCACAAAATATTTGCTCCTCAGCGGAGCCTTCGGCACGATGTTGGCCATGGATGAATAATTTGGTCTCATTAGAAGAATTCTGACCGCAAGAATGAAGCGTTATCCACTTTTAGAAGAATTTCACGGAATATTTGGTCAACCTTTCTGACACAAGCAGGTAGCGGCATAGGTGATTCTGGTAGATGATTTGTCATTGATGGAATGATTCGTCTATCTGGTTCACAATAAGAATACCGCGAGTATCGTTAGGAAGTTGGGAAAACCATAACTCATGATGAGCTTTGAAATCGCCAAGAGAATATAGAAATTGACAAGTTTAATTTCAGAATCTTTGGGGAGGAACTGGAGGGGATATTAAGGTATAACTAACATCCCATGGGATAGAGAATACCTGTCTCGCCATATGATGTTGAGTAGGAGGATAGGGAACAACTGCTGGTCAATTTCGTTTCCTGCAAAGCAGCAATGAGAATCTTGTTTTCATTTCATAAATTTTGTGATCTTAGTTGCAATAATGATCTAAGACCGCCCTTTACGCTGTCGTCTGAATGGAATGTTCTGAGGGTTCGATGTTAGAATTGAAGGACTAGAAGGAGTGATAGTCGGAAAATTAGAATGAATTACATTTTGTAGGCCTCGAAGAAGAATCATCCCTTTTTGTGGAAGTAACATGCTTTTTCTTCGGTAAAACAGTTCCCGTGGCGATCCAATCACTTTTGGTGGCTGTCAAACTTATTTGTATAAGTTACATTTTAAACACATTGGGTATGCATTATCGCATAATCGATATGCTACATGTATTATCCGAATTTTCCAAACTGTGTCTTTAATAACGTATTTCGTTTCCTCGGATGATGATAAAAAACTTTATGTCGCCAGTTACCGCGTCGTCGGCCGATTTGAGGCATTTGGAATGTCTACTTTATTTTGGAGGGTATAGAAAGATCGGTGTGACCACACTAAAGTGTTTCTTGTTTAATAGTCAACATATATCAGGAAAAAATTAAGGAATTTTTAAAGGAGCATCATCCAGAAATCGATTATTGTTTAAAATCTTGCAAACAGCTATTATTGTTGCTATTTTAATATACGTCCTTTCAAATGATTATCGTATTTATTTAATTTTCCATAGTAGTCGATTTTTTCTCATAATGGACACACCGATTTTACGTATTCTGCATGCCCAAATTATGATGAAGTTCGCCCCATACGATGTTTCACGTTTTCTATTTGGTTGTTTACAACGACATTTTGGCAACCCCTCGATGGTACAGTTTTACGTACTACGCAGAACTTTTTCTTCCTTATATTTCATATGCAATCAATGTTCCACAAGTAGATCTATCCAACAGTCATAATAGAGAAGTCCTTAATTTATACATATTCAACCACTCAAAACTAATTGTAATCAATTGACTCACTCACCTATAGATAACTGTCTTTGTGGATTTCCCCACTTCAATGATTCGTGTGTTTTGTGATGCCTTCAATATTTCATCATATTCTCGACGCAATTTTGGTTTACTTAGGGTCTGATAAGCTTCGGAAATTTTCAGGAAATGTGCCGTGTGATCTTTGTTGTCTTTGGAACTACCACCTTTAGCATCGGGATGATACTATAGTAAGACGAGTTTTCCATTCATTAAATTCCATTCGTAACTTTATTATGTTTGTTAATCTTACCTGTTTAGATAATTGGACATAGGCATTACGGATATCTTTATCACTGCAATCATTGCGTACTTTCAAAACATCGTACAATGTTTCCGATCCACCGTTGGCCTTATCCATTTAATACAAAAATCCCAATTACGGCTGAATTTTGAGTCAAATAATTGTTTGTATTTTGTTTTGCATAATAAAACAAAACAATGTTCTACGCTGTACTTTTATTTTTTTTTTATGAAATTACAATGCCAACGTCTTCATAATCATCGGCGTTACGAAATTATAAGGAATTGGAATCAAAACATAAATGATAACCCAGAATCACAACACAACTTGTTAGTAACAGGTGTTGTGGCAGCTGTTTCGTTCACAAACGCCATAGTTCAGTTATTGAATTCACAGAATGGAATGGCGTGAACTTGTTGAAGTTAGTTCCTTGTAAAGAGAAGTTGTATTTATATTATCGATAATAGATTCATTGTGAGCTATCGATAAATTCACATTTAGCATGTTCATTAACCAATGTAAACAGGGTAGTTTTTGCAACAAATGAATAATAACAGGGTGAGATTTAGAAAAAATCAGGCTTCTATATTAATTCAGATTCATAGGAAAAATAAAGGTTTCAATCCATTTCAGAAAAATGTCGAGTATATTCGAAATGTGTGGCTCAAGATTCAAACATTGTTGGTCTGTTCCCGTACTGCAAGAATCTACTCGATTTTACTATTTTCTTCGATATCATAAAGGAAAAAAGTGTTATCGGAGTAAAAAATAGTAGATTCTTGCAGTACGGGAACAGACTATGTATATCGTAATATCTTTCCCAGATATGGATAAAATTCGAGTATGGAAAATGTCGGATTAATAAATAGCACGAAAAGTATTACAAGATAACAAAAATTGTAACATTGCAACTTTACCACTGGGAATGTGTTTTAAATTGCTATTGAAATTGTTGGCTATCGATGTTTTTGACTAAATAAAAGGGAATTTAAAATACAATTTTTTCTAATAATAATAATTTTATTGTAAAGTATATAAAACTACACATGCTCACATTTTTAATTTAATTATTTTTGCGTGTAAAATCGTTAACGATTTCTTGTCATCATACTGATTGGAAACTAGTAACATCTAGATGATTTTAAACCCGAATCATTCCTATATTCTTATCGATCTTTTTTCATTTTTTTGTATAAACAAAAAATCACATGTTCTTTTGCAATAAATCAATTGTGGATTTATGTGAGAATATACACTCTTATCAAAGTCGACAGCAATTCATCAAACTTTATGCATTTAACTTTTTTTTTATAAAAGTTCGGCATATTTTTCCGCATACAAAGCAAGGTTCATAACTCCCGATAAGAGATTGATTAATTTGATTTTAAGACCGAATAATAAATGGTTGGATGTTGAAAAATATTTTGTCCTCGGGTATGAAACATAATGTTAGGTTTTATATATTTGTACAAACATACGATGCCAATTCTGAGGGAAATTTTTAAAGACATGTGTTTTTCACCGATCGAATAATGTGATTCGAATAAAAATATGTTTTATTTATTTATTCTTCAAACAATAAATTTGACAAACCAGTAAGGAATGTATATGATATCCTTTACCACTTTGGGTTATTCAACAGATGAATCCTAACCGATGTAGCTTTTTGAAGGACCAGCAAAATGAATATGTCATTCTGCAGCCTTTATTAAATTTTTCATTTGGTCAGATATGGAGTTGCTTCTTACAATGGGAAAAATTATGTAAATCAATTTAAAGCATATATATCAATCGGACACCCGTTGATTATTTGGATAAATATCTGATAAACATGAGGAGTTTGGTGCACTATATACAAATCTAAACCGATTTCATCGAAACTTGTCATAGTTTAGGTTATACTAATTTCAGTATTTTTTGTGCATATCGGCCACATTTCGCCTATGTGGTAGCTCTATCTAAATTTTAACCGATTTTAACAAAACATTCCACATGCTAGGTTATATTAACTTCGGTACGTTGTACAAAATTTTATGTCAATTTTCTGTAAAATCGGACGAAAATATATGTGTAGAAGATATACCTAAATCTGAACCGATTTCACGAGACTTGGCAGAGATAAATTTATATACATTTCATTGTACAAAATTGTGTGGCAATCGGACAAATTTGGGTCTTTACATAAAATCGGGAGAATATATATATAGGATCTATATCTAAATCTGAACCGAAACTTAGCACACATCATTCTAGACTTAAATCAGTACGCTATGTCAAATTTCTTGCAAATCGAAAGATATATGTGGACTTTAGTGCACCATTTACATTAAATCGGAGGAAAATATATATGGGAGCTATATCTAAATCTTAACAGATTTTCACGAAACTTAACACACATCATTCTAGACTTAATTCAGTACCCCATGCAACATTTCGTGCAAATCGAAAGATATATAGGGACTTTGGTACATCATTTACTTTAAATCAGACGAAAATATATACAGGAGCTATATCTAAATCTGAACCGATTTTTCAGTAAGGTTCGTCCTTGGGCCAAATAAGTGACCTATGCCAAATTTCATGCAATTCGTATCATAAATGCGACCTGTACTTTGTTTACAATTTAACATGGACAGACAGGCGGATGGGCGGACATGCATAAATCGACTTAGAAAGTGATTATATGCATATTCTCAAATGGAATCATATGCCTATCTCGTTTCCTTTTGCCTGTCACAAATAGTGTGAAATTACGGCTAACACCTTAAAAATACCGACAATGTAGGTACAATATATATACAGGGTGAGATGAAAAAACTGCTACCAACTCCAGACTGCTGTCATTTCTAAGCCACTCGTACGAAAGCTGTTAAAATTTTTTTCAGTGACTGCTCATTATATTGTTTACAAGCGTACAAAAGCATTTTGGTAAGAATTTTTCAGAAAAAAGTTTTTCGTGATAGAACAGAAAAAAATTGACTGAAAAGAGCTAAAGAGCATGGCCAAAAGTGGTGAACTGCCGAATTTGGTTTTCTTCGATGAGAAAAAATTCGTTGTCCTGTAGTTTGTAAACAAACAAAATGATCGTTTTTACTTGCCAAAGAGGTCAGCTGAAAATGTGAACGTTCGGTTGACCACCAAAACTCAAGCGCCGGCCATGGTGATGGTGTGGGCCGCCATAACAGCCGATGGTAGCTCTTCGCTCGTATTAATCGAATATCATCAAAATAAATGCTGAATATTATTGCCACCAACATCTCCTGATACCAATCCGTTGGACTATTGTGTCTGGAGTATTTTGGAAAACAAGGTTAGTGCCAACCCAAAAAATACGAAAGTGTCGATCACCTCAAGCAAGCGCTTCGCCGGGAATGGGTCAAAATACTGCAAAACAACAATCGTGTGATGGTTTCATTGCTCGTTTGAAGGTCATAATTCGTGTCAAAGTTGACCAATTCGAACAAATCTAAACTTATTCTAAAATTTGACAATATTTCCGACATTTTTGCTTTCATTTAATAAAATTTAAAAAAAGGGTAAAAATTATGGCGCTTGACTTTGTTGCAGTTTTTTATCTCATATGTCAGTCTCCAAGAACCAGGAACGCCAAACCCGGTCAAAGCAGGTCACCAGGCCACTTCAGATGAAAAATGCGGATAATACTTTCAATGTTTTCTGTCAGAATATTTCTCACCCTTCAAAAATCCCGGATTGTAAAATTACAGGAAAATAAAGCTAACACCTTCAAAATACCGAAAATGAGGCAAAACCTTGCAAACTATATTACAGCTATTTCGGTTGCAAAAGTACTATAAGCGAACTATATCAAAACGAGGATCGATGTAACCCATTTCCAAAACTAATAGTTTGGTATTTTTCGTTCTCATCTACGTAAAAAAATCAATATGATCTAAGTTTTAGTGGGAACGTTTTTCAATCTAATTGGCGGTTATTTTTATATTTTGGGATTCTATCCTCTATATAACATTAACCCCACTATTCGGTGTCTTCAACATATTTATACCCTTCACCACTCTGTGGTACAGGGTATTATGTCTTTGTGCATAAGTTTGTAACAGGCAAAAGAAAACGAGATAGACACATGGTTCCTTTTGAGAATATGCATAGAATCACTTTTTGAGTCGATTTATGCATGTCCGTTCGTCCGTCTGTCCGTCCGTCTGTAGATGTTAAATTGTAAACAAAGTACAGGTCGCATTTATGATCCGATTTGAATGAAATTTGAGACAGGTCACTTATTTGGCCCAAGGACGAACCCTATTGAAATTGGGAAAAATCGGTTCAGATTTAGATATAGCTCCCATATATATATTTAACTGATTTAATGTAAACGGTCCCTATATATCTTTCGATTTGCACGAAATTTGGCATAACGTACTGAATTGAGCCTAGAAAGATGTCTGCCAAGTTTCGAGAAAATCGGTCCAGATTTCTATGTAGCTCCCATATATAGTTTCGTCCGATTTCATGTAAATGATGCACCAAAGTCACTATATATCTTTCGATTTGCACGAAATTTGGCATAACGTACTGAATTGAGCCTAGAATGATGTCTGCCAAGTTTCGAGAAAATCGGTCCAGATTTAGATATAGCTCCCATATATAGTTTCGTCCGATTTCATGTAAATGGTGCACCAAAGTCCCTATATATCTTTTGATTTGCACGAAATTTAGCATAACGTATTGAATTGAGCCTAGAATGATGTCTGCCAAGTTTCGAGAAAATCGGTCCAGATTTAGATATAGCTCCCATGTATAGTTTCGTCCGGTTTCATGTAAATGGTACACCAAAGTCCCTATATATCTTTCGATTTGCACGAAATTTGGCATAACGTACTGAATTGAGCCTAGAGTGATGTCTGCCTTTTTTCATGAAAATCGGTCCAGATTTAGATATAGCTCCCATATATAGTTTCGTCCGATTTCATGTAAATGGTGCGCCAAAGTCGCTAAATATATTTCTATTTGCACGACATTTGGCATAACGTACTGAATTGAGTCTAGAATGAATGTCTGCCAAGTTTCGAGGAAACCGGTCCAGATTTCTATATAGCTCCCATATATAGTTTCGTCCGATTTCATGTAAATGGTTCACCAAAGTCTCTATATATCTTTCGATTTGCACGAAATTTGGCATAACGTACTGAAAATCGGTCCAGATTTAGATATAGCTCCCTTTTATTATAGATTGATTATAAGTGATTGACGCACCAAGGATCCAATAGGCTGATAGGAACAAAACGTTCTGAAATTAGTATAACCTAACCTGTGACAAGTTTGTTTGAAATCGCTTAATATTTGGATAGAGCTTCCATATATATTTTCGCCCGATTTCAAGTAAATTGGGCATCAAACTCCTCATGTTAGTCAGATTGACATCAAAGTTTGCACAACTTACAAAATTGAGCATAGAATTACGTAGTTGCGTTTTCTAGAAGTACAGATATGACCTATTTATATTTGTTTGAAGTCGATTTACATACTTTATGGATAGATCTAGGTAGATTCATATTTAGATAAATATCACATATTTTATTTCATCCAATTTTTAATAGTCCTGTTTAATATACCCATAGTGGTGAAGGGTATCATATAGTCGGCCCCGTCCGACTTTACTACTTTCCTTACTGGTTTTCAAATGCAATGCGTCAATTGCGGTAAGCCCAAGGTCGTAGCCCAACATGAGTTTTTCCCTGAAGCCATGATCTATTTTACGTATTTTAAATGTTCATCTCATGGTCAGAGCTTTATTATTAGACCCATTCCCATTCGTCTTTGGTACAATCCTCGATATTTTTTTAATTTTTTATATTAAAATAAAAAAACAGTGCATTTTATTTTTAAACAATAATCTTTATTCCAATTTCGTATTTTGTTTTTGTGGTTACTGGAGAAATTTACAATCGATATTATTTTCATGGTAATTAATCTATAAGGACTAGTTTTGCAATCGCTTTACTATAACTACTAAAATATTTATTTTGTGCTATTTTAAAAATATGTTCTTGTTGTTGTTGCTGTTATTTTGTATTGATTGATATCTAAAATAAAAACGCTTATTAACTATTGATGAAATAACGAGAAAGTTGGCTTAGTTGTATGATTTGTTGTTTGTTTAATAATAATTTTGAATTAATATGAGAATTTGTGTTTTATTATAATTATTAACTATTTTATTGTATGTACAAAAATATTAGTTATTAAAAATATATTAAAAGAAAACATATTACAAAGAAAAGTAAAAATTATAGATTTTCAGTTGTGTGAAGAAGAAATTATAACACATGGGTTGAATTTTGAATGGGATCGACCGCTGGCATTTTAATTCTAGAAGCCGTAACATTCCACCCTAATGTGTTATTGTTATAAAGAAAAATAAACAAATATTTTAATATTAAATATTTTTCAATATTTTACTATTATTATTTGTATTAATTTTTTATATAAATATGCAGTATAAGGAGAACCCTGAGTTGTTGTTGTTAGACATGATTATTTTTTTAATTATTTGTTTTATTGATAAAATTTTTAATTAATTTATTATTATTTTTATAATATTTTGCACTAATACACATTACTCTGCTAGACGCTTAAATTTATGATTATTTCCTTTGATTCTATATACAAAATTTTATATCTGTTTATGTATTTGATTATATGTTAAATATGATTTTAATTAATTTATTTATTATGTTGTGTTTTTTGTTTTAATATATCACAGCCAAATGAGCAAATTAAAATCAATGAATATTTGTTTTTGTTGTTGGTTTCTTTCATTTAACAAAATATTACAAAACAATTTCAAACATTTGTCATTTGGCAAAGTATGGCATAATATGGGCAGGGGGAGTCCTTCACCCCCTTTTTCTAACATTCATTTATTTCCCTTCACATTGATTCTCTGCTATTGTCACTGTTATGTTGCATGGCCAGCTGACATTCTGTTAGTGTGGCACTGTTATTGCATGCTGTTGTTGATGGATTTGTTTTCATGTTGCTAACATTGCTGCTGGTACATTTGCTGTTAACATTACTTTTAGCCGAGTTGATAATGCTATTCGGTGTAGAGCAGGCGGAATTGTTTGCATTGTTGTTGCTATTGTTGTTGTTGTTATTAGCAGGTGGCGATGTCGCTGTGGTAGTGGTGGAGACAGTGTGCTGAGCCATAATATCGGCTGGTATCAGACCCTCCTTGACACGTTTCTTTTGTTTCATGCGTCGATTTTGGAACCATATTTTAACCTGCAATGATATAAAGGGGGAAATTTGGGGATTAAGTTTTGTATAACAAATATAAAAAGGTTTGAAAATTATCATTAAAATGTTTGCAAATAAAGCTAATTAAGCAGTGAGCGGAGCAGTATAGACGGACGGGGCCAACCATACGATACCCTACACAACTACCGCGGAACTCTAACTTTCTACTGATGTTTATTCCGAGCCTGGGCAATATTTCTGGTATTTGCACCCTCTAGCCCGATTAGAGGTCAACAGCACCTCTTCCTTACTCTGACATATTTTCGGAATATTATAAATATTCAGTACAGCCCTTCTATACTTGTCAAGATTCCCTTAACCATGGGTTGTGTTGTGATGTTCGGCTTTAATTGTGGCCATATCGACTCCAAAAAACACAAAAAATTAAGTTATCGGTCTACGTCATCCCAATATTATAATATGATCATCATCGGAAATTATAGGCGTTGTACTTGATCATAATTGTAACCTCATGGAACATTTCAAAGGGATCAGCGCTTTATTTCCGTCTCTAGTGTGGTAATGGGTTACTAAATAATATCTGAATACGTAAACACCTGTAAATATCTAAATGTAACTCCCACATCCGAGTGCATACGACCATATAATTGGTATCACTTTAAAGGTCAACCACTCCTCTTGGATATTATATCAACTTATCGGGCCTATGTCCTTCAGGAGTAAATATATACGCCATACAATACAATTTTTGTAATTTTTCACACAAAAGTCCATTTGGCCCACTAAATATTGACCGATATTTATCAAAACAGGCATGCTTATTCTTTGACACGAGCACCTTCTCCATGTAAAAATTCGCGGTATTTGGGCCATAATTAAGGTCTCTGGAGGGACCAGAAAAACAGACAAAAATAAAGTTTTTGGTCTATTTCATCCCCTAAATATTAACCGATCTTTACCAAACAATAGGGATATTCATTGGTCAGAACCCGTCCTACGTGAAAAATTTCGTGAAGATCGGTTCACAACAGCGGCCTGTATCGTGTTTACAAATTATAATGGACAGACGGACGGAGGGACACACATGTCTAAATCGACTCAGTTAGTCGAGATATGACGATCGGTATACTTAATGGTGCGTCTAGGACCAATATTTCGCGGCGTTACAAACTCTTGGGGCTGCTTTATACCCTGACAACGCAGATGTGTAGGGTATAAAAATCCACGGCTATAGATCCAATAGTCCTTGAAAAAATCTATTTAAAAATCCACGCCTATAGCTCCGATAGTCCTTGAAAAAATCAATTTAAAAATCCACGCATATAGCTCCGATAGTCCTTGAAAAAATCAATTTAAAAATCTAGGCCTATAGCTCCGATAGTCCTTGAAAAAATCAATTTAAAAATCCAGGCCTATAGCTCCGATAGTCCTTGAAAAAAATAATTTAAAAATCCACGCCTATAGCTCCGATAGTCCTTGAAAAAATCAATTTAAAAATCCACGCCTATAGCTCGGATATACCTTGAAAAATATTCTTTAAGAAATCCACGCTTATAGCTCGGACAACCCGAAAAATATTTGTTAAAAAATCCACGCTTATAGCTATGATAGTCCTTGAAAAATATTCTTTAAAAAATTCTCTTCTCCTTATTTATGCTCCGATAGTCCTTAAAAAATATTCTTTAAAAAAACAAACGACTAAAGGTCCGAGAGTCCTTGAAAAAACTTTAATATAGAAATCCATGCTTATAGCTCGGATATACCCTGCAAATATTATTTAAGAAATCCACGCTTATAGCTCGGATATACCTTGAGAAATATTATTTAAGAAATTCACGCTTATAGCTCAGATAGAACATGAAAAAATATTCTTTAAAATCCGCAATATAACCATTGAAACATATTCATTTATTTAAGAAATCCAGCTAATAGCCAATAGCTCTGATACTATAGTCCTTGAAAAATATTATTTAAAAAATCTACACTTATAGCTCCGAAAGTCATTGACAATTTTCAATTTAAAAATCCACACTTATAGCTCGGATATACCTTGAGAAATATTATTTAAGAAATTCACGCTTATAGCTCAGATAGAACATGAAAAAATATTAAAAATATAACCATTGAAGTCCCTAGCTCTGATAAAAATATATCTTATAATTCTGAATTTTTATCTGTAATAGTCTTTGAAAAATCCTTGAAAACTAGTATTAAAAATCTGAAGTCCCTTGAAAAAAAAGATTTGAAAAAATGATTCATTTTTCCTTCCCCTCTTACCTGTGTTTCATTCAACTGCAGTGTATTGGCAATTTCAATACGCCGCGCTCTTGTCAAATAACGATTAAAATGGAATTCCTTTTCCAGTTCCGTCAATTGTTTATTGGTGAAATTGGTGCGACCGGAATTATTCGTTGCCGCTAGGCTGCATGCCATGCCCAAACTATTTGGACTATGATTACCGCTTAGTAGAACGGCTGGTGTCTGCTGTCCAGGCATTTGATGTGATGACAATACCAGTCCGGCTGGGCCAGCATTGCCACCGGCCGCTGCAGCATTACGACACATTGCATCCAGGGCTGTCTGACCAGCACCGTTCAGGTGATGATAATCATGCAAAGTGGCAGGTAGTTTTGGTGCTGCAAAAGAAGACGAAGAACAATGCGATAATTAGACAAGTTTGTTAGGATGAGTCAAATGATGTTTAAATTTGTTGTCGTTGTTGTTGTTGGAAAGACATGTTGTTATTGTTGTTTCTGCTATATTTATTGTTTTGGACCATCAAATCCCGAAAAATGCAAGAAGAGGAAAAAAAGAGAATTGTGGTTTAACAGATTATGAGTGATTTTGTCAGTGATGATCGCTGTCAAAGTTAATCAGCGTGAGATTTTTGTTGTTTAGTCTTGTGGTTTTGGACGGTCGGTTGTTCGGTCGGCCGCTTGGGTTCCTTTGAGACATTTATACCCTCAACAAAAAAGAAGGGCACATGCCTTACACCAACATTTCGAAAAAAAAGATATTCCAAAAAAAAAAAAAAAATTAGAGGTTAGTTTTGTTTTTGGGTTTCCAAATGGGCACACACACACACAGCGCAACGGGATATTGAATGATTTTTTGAAATTGTTGTGTGTTTGTTTTTATTTGGCACAGGTACATTTCATGTATCTAGTTTTGGCATGAGTTGGCAAATATTTTTCTTGTGGTTTTCAACTATTCACGGTGTGACATGCACCCCATGGCTAAAATCTAATGATTATGAAAATTCATAATTTATGTGGTCAATAGTGATTACATGCTTGCAGGTAGGTTAGGCATTTAGGTAGCTAGAGTTGACTTTGACTTGACTTTTTGATTTTTCTCTATGATGTTTTGGGGATTTTCTTGCACGAAAGAAAAGGCTTTAACGAGATTAACTACAGTTTGTTTTGGAAATATTTAATTTAATAAGAAATTAATATTTTCATTTTAAATGGGCGTTTACTTCCCGAAGACAGGGGTATTACTGACTTTTACGAACAGAAAAAAATCTGTGTTTGGTATTTTATGTTTTTCCGTAGAAATGGATTAATGAATTAGGGAGTGATTTGTCATGGTTAACCAACAGCTCGGTTTTGGGGAAATGTGTAGGGTATGTACAAGAAGGATATCGTGACATAGAATATTTTAAATTTAAATTTAAAAATACGTTGTCCTTTAAAACATCCACGCTTATAGCTTTGATGGTCCTTGAAAAATGTTTTTTAAACAAATCCACGCTTATAGCATTGATGGTCCTTGAAAAATATTTTTTAAAAAAATCCACGCTTATAGCTGTGATGGTCATTGAAAATGTTATTTAAAATTATAGATGTGATAGTCATTTAAAAATCCATGCTTATAGATTTGAAATCCTTTATAAATTATTGATGAGATGGTCCTGGTTAAAAAAATTCACGATTATAGCTTTGATGGTCCTTGATAAAAATTCATAAAAAAATCAACAACAAATATTCATAAAAAATCCATTCTTATCTCTGTGACGGTCCTGGAAAAGTATTCTTAAAAAAATCCCAGCTTATGTCTGAGATAGTCCTTGAAAAATATCTCTGCGATGGTCTTTGAAAAATAATCTTTTTAGAATTCTTTTATAAAGAAGCATGGATTTGTTAAGCCTATTTTTTGAGGGATGGTATTTCAAGAATAGTTGCTGAGGTCAATTTTGTGTCCTGTATTTGCTGAAGGCATCGATTTAATTAATCTGTTTTAACCCCCATTGAGGATCCCATTGAAGGCATCCATTTTTTATGAATATTTTTGCGACCACTTTTGTTTTAGGAATATTTTAAAGTTTGAAGCCTTGGATATTTATGGATATTTTTTCAAATCCCACTTTTCAGATGTGTTTTTTTAATGAATATTTCCTGAGATCCCATTTGAAGCTTGGGTCTTTTGAAGCTTTAGGTCCCTTTTGAGGTCTGCATTTTTTGAAGAACATTTTTGAGACCTCATTTGACTTGTCGCTTTTTTTTTAATTATTTGCCGACGTTTTTTAATCAATATTTTTGAGGATTGTAGTTTTAGGAACTGTTTTTGAGACCCCATTGGATACATGAATTTTTTTCGAATATTTTTAAGACCCCATTTGAGGCATCGATTTTTAGGAATATTTTTTGAAATCCAATTTGTTTACCCTACACAACAATTTTTTAAGGGTATCATAGCTTTGTATACCAATCATCATATCTCGAATAGCTGACTCGATCTAGACATGTGTGTCCGTCCATCTGTCCATTATAATTTGTAAACACGATACAGGCCACAGTTATGGACCAATCTTCACGAAATTTTGCATGTAGGAAGGGTTCGGTCCAATGAAGACCCTATTGTTTTTGTAAAGATCGTTTAATGTTTAGGGATGAAATGGACCAAATACCTAATTTTTGTCGGTTTTTGTGGTTGCTCTAGAACCGCAATTTGGCGCAAACTTCGCGATGGATTACATGGAGAAGGGGATCGGGCCAAAGAATAAGCACACCTGTTTTGATAAAGATCGGTCAATATTTAGCGGGTCAAATGGGCCCTAACTTTTGTGTGGAAAATTACAAAATTTGTATTCTATGGCGTATATATTTGCCATGATAGACATAGACCCGAAAAGTTGATAACATATCCCAAAGGAGTGGTTGACCTTTAAATTGATACCAATTATATTGTCGTATGTACTCGGATGTGGGAGTTACGCTTAAATATTTACAGGTGCTTACCTACTCAGGTATTATTTAGTAATCCATTGCCACACTAGAGGGCGGAAATATAGCACTGATCGCTTTGACATAGAGGGAGCAAATATCACGAAACATTGGCCAGGTTCGAAATAAACATCCATAGAAAGATAGAGTTCCGTGGTAGTTGTGTAGGGTATCGTATGGTGGGTCCCGTCCGACTATACTGCTCCGCTCACTGGTTTAATAATCATTTTTGAGACTTGACATTTGAAGCTTGGATGTTTTGAAAGTATTGATCGAGGTCCCTTTTGAAGTCTCGATTTTTTGAAGAATATTTTTTTTAAATCCATTTGAGGCGTCGATATCTTAATCAATAATTTTTGAGACATCGTTGAAGCTGGGGTTTTTTAAGAATATTTTTGGAGGTGGCGTAGTTTTGAAAAACATATTTTGAGACCTCATGTGAGGCGTGGGATTGTTTAAAATCACATTTGAGGCGGCGATTTAGAAACAGTGTTTGGTTCCATTTACGGTGTAGATTTTTGAAGAACATTTGGGGGCTTTCGTATTTAAAAAAAAAATAATTTTTTAGACCCCATTGGAAACTTCGATGTTTGACGTATATTTCCTAAGACCCCATTTGTGCCTTATATTTTTATTAAAAAAAATATATTTTTATTAAAAAATATTGTTCGAGGTCCCTTTTGATACCTGTATTTTTTAGACCCCATGAATTTGTAAGGATATTTTAAGGCCTAATTGGAAACTTGGAAGGCTCCATTTGACGCGCCGATTTTTTAAGCTTTTTTTTGAGAATACATTTGTTTTAGGAAAAATTGTAGGACCCCATTTGTTTTTCGAAATATTTTGTCTCCTGTATTTTTTTAAGAAACATTTTTTGAAGTGCTGTTTTTTTCTTGGATTTGCAAATATGCAATAAACATTTAATTTTCTACACCACATACCTCCAACCAAAACTGTAACACAAAAACTGTCCGTAATTCTGCTAATCCATAATTAGGCCATAATAACAACAAATTGGTAATATCAAACGTGATTTTCAACGTCAACCTGACGTCTACAGGGGACAGATAAAAAATCATAAAACAACTCAACAAAACCAAAACACAGAAAAAAAAAAACGATTGCAGCTACTGTTGTAAATAAAATAGGCTTTTATGATTTATACACACAATGGCAGTCATACACACCCAAATTCACATATAAATGTCTGTTATGTTGGCAATATATATTTTTCGATTTGTATTTTTTTTTTGTCGAAAAGCACCAAATCATATATAACGCCATATTAAATGTCAAGTGTTCCAATAATATTAAAAAAATAAAATTTATAAGCGTTCGAAATCAAATATGCCATAAAGCAGTAAATTTGTGGTAGGTGGTAGGGGAAAAAGTGGGTAATCAAAAATTTTGAAAAAAAAAATACACACAGCCACCTCAACACACACCACTCACACATGTGAGCAACATAAATAGCCGTCGTCTGTTCTGCTCATAATTAAATCAAAAATCATTTGAAATGATCAATCAAAAACCAGTCAGAAAAACATCACCGAAAGCAAAACCAAACAAAAAATTCGAAAAAAAACATTGAACATAGAAAAAAATGTTTTTCGAAACATTTATATTTAGTTGTTAATAAAGACATAGGGGATATAGGTATGTTCATAAATATATGTGGGTATAATGATATTCCTACAATATTAGGTATGTCGATTTTTCGAATCGACAAATTTAAATAAGAAATCATGTTTTTGATACTTAATGGGTGGTCTGCTTTAGAAGATGAGGAAAATGACAGCAGTTTGGTTGGGAGCTTTTATATCATTCGCCGTTTCCAAAATATGCACATATATTCTTGATCAGAATTAAATTCTATGCCGATTTAACCCGGTATGTCTATTGACATCAGGAAGGAGCTTCGACTCTCAAGTAAGAGGATTCGTTGGCATACCTAAAACCATAGGTTCGTTCAATTTGTATTACTTCTGGACAGAATACCCCTAACAAAAAAACTAAGGAAACTACTGATAAGGATCTGTGGCAAGAACCAATCCTTTATGAACAATGCAATATATATCTTTCCCCAATAATAAAAATGTATTTCATAAAAGAACACAAACTGTAATTAAGCCCTACTATTTTGAATAAAAATAAAATGCAACATTAATAATTCCTACTCACTCATATACATATATCTCTCTCTAAAAAATAATTAATATTGAAATTTTGATGACAACCTTAATTAACAATAATTCAGAGTGTTGACATAGCAATCATCAACAGCAACAACATTTGGAGGCATGCAACAACTATCTACTTGCCATATATTTTTTTGTAATGCAACATATACTACAAATTCAATACAAATAATAACTATCCACACACACAATATCCTCCATTGCACTCTCCAC